TGGCTCGTGGCCTAACCCAGAGTAGTGGAAAAGGGGTTCATGTCTTTACATCGTGTCTCTTAGGTCTCATCATGAATGGCTTCGCATCTGGAATCACGGCAATTTAATTTGATCTTTAGCAAATACATTGTGGCTTTTCTGGAAAGCCCTTATTAGTATGATGATCTAATGATCCCCCACAAACTTTGTGCACAGGTGGAACCAACTAAAGATTGATGGGGACTTGTGGTTATGACTGAAAGCTCTCATTTCATTGGAAAGTTTGGAAGCTACTGTTAGTTCTTTCAACTTGTTAGGGATTAGAATCTTTTAGTTTGTGCACAAGAGAGTATTTCAAGTTTGTGTACATGAGAATGTTTTAGTTCTTGTTTGGGATTTTAGTACTTGCTATGTTTGTATTTGTTACCGACTTTTAATTCAATGAATTATATTTGAGTATCGACTTTTTCTTTTAAATTGCTATATGCATTCTGCTCTTTGGGATAGTTTTACAAGTCCCTTGGGATTCTGGTTGATGGAATATACAGCAGGGAGGACCAATTGCAGGTTGCTTCCATATAAAAAAAAATAGGGAAAAAACTCCTGGCAATTAAAAGTGTCAGCATAGCTTAGCTTCGAAAAACACTAATTACAAATGGGCATGTCGTCCAAAGCAGTGTAAATTCACATGGCTACGTGTCCTTAAAGCCATATATTAAGACAACTCAAGATGCCTTCATAAATTAGATATCCTACTGATCCGATACTGATGTTCTAATGCTATACTGACACTTTCAATTATCACAAAAAAAAGTTTTTGTTGGCAGAGGGAATGCTATAGCAGCATGGTTTTCCTGACACATTTGAATGCTGCAAAAGATTTGAGGCTATCCCCACATTGGAAGGGACAACACTCACCCTAGGTGTGAGGATAGATAAAGTGTTAGGTTAGATTATCTATACTGACACCTTTAAATGCCGCTAAAGGTCATTTTTGTTGTAGTGTCTACTACCTTTTATCTATAACTAATTAAAGAGGACTTAAAAGGATTAAAACAACAAAGAAGAAGAACCAACGTTTAAGACATACTACGGTAGAATCAGGTAATATTCCTCTGTAATAACTTGATCACATCACACTTTTCTTATTAGATGACAGCAAAAAAAAAAAACTATCTTTTAACGAATCATGTCAGCTATTAAGAATAGAATTGGTAAAAGATTCAACAATTTTAACTCTCTCTAGTGTCTAAAAAGGTATAAACACCATATGCAGAATTAGACAATTCCTAATTCAAGTCCCAAAACCATGCTCAAAACTTCTTCCTGCAACCTCCCTTTTATAGAATATGCACGTTACTTGCATCCTTGAAAAAAAAAACTGGGGTATGAAAAAAAAGAAATAGGTACATATTCTTGTGCCTGTATAAAAATTGTTGTACATAATTGGTCAGACCTTATGTACATTAACATGCAGAAAATTCATTATTAAAAAAATAAAAGCATGCACAATAAAAAAAAAAAGATTCCATTTTAATGATGTTACAGGTAATTTTTTTTTCTTAGCCATTTGATTTATCATGTAATCAGTCATAGTATTTAAGTCCTAAAACCCTTAATTCATCCTGCATGTCCCAAATTTCTTCAAGTTTACCGTATAGCGCTGAGGGGTTGAAGTCTTTGAAGACTTTAAGCTTCAAGGTTACCAGTTAAAATTGACTGCAAACGATTAAACAGTGGCAGACGTGACACATACAAGACGGTTGATCTACTACCACTATATATTTATACCTTCAAATTAAGCAATGGCACCTTTAAAACTGTAGTCATGAGATTCTGCCCAAGACTTGTGTTTTCTTCACTTTGGTGCATTTAAATAATGGCATGCTAATTATTGAAGGAATTTTGTGTGGAGAAGCATCTTTTTTTGAACACTAACGACATTATTATAGAGAATGAATGGTTATCGGTTAATAGTTAATGTTAAAGTACAACTTAAAGCGCTCAATACCCGGATAAAGTTCTCATTTTAAGTTCACATCCCTTCATCTTATATCTCGACCTACAAGTTTATATGTTAGCAATCAAAATAACTGATGCATGAAAAGTATGGATTTAGCTCTTTCTAACTTTAGATGCAAAAATTAGCAAGCATTTAGAAACTAGTTTGGTACAAAGCGAAAAGAAGCTAAAGGTTACGTACTAAAGTGTTATAACTCAAAGTTCAAGGCACAAAGTGACTTTGAGGGTGCGAAATGGCATTAATTCCGGGGCTAATATTGTTAAACACACAATTTTATATATGTCTGACACGTTCAATCATAATAGTATATACGCTGTTAATGTCTGTAAAATTAACTTCACATATATGTAATCTTCAAAGTATAATAAAATACTGTAATAGCCATCATAAAATAAAATTACTGCCAAATGAGATGTTCCTAACTTTCTTGGATGAAAAAGTAAAACCGCAAGAAACTTGCGCTACAAAATCATTAAGTTTACCTTAAAAAAAAAAGGTCTTATCATCGCAAGTTGGGCTGTCAGCCAGACCAGGCTTGCCCGAGCTGAGCCTGTTTAGCCCATCAGAAAAAGGCACAAGCTTGACATGAACCTGTGTTGGGCTAATTTAGCGTGGGATGACCTTCATCAAATTGGGCTGTGTTGGGCTAAGTAGAACAATTGAATTACAATATTTAAATATTAATTTCATCAATACTTCATACTGTAACCTATCAATCAAATTACTTTTTTAAGAAATAGGGACATCTAAGTCATACAAGTATAGAGATCATCTATTCATTGATAAGAAAAAGAAAAAAGGTGAATGGAGATTGGATTGATGATAAAATAAGCTCCTAGACTACGAATAGTGATTTGATTGATAATGCAGCAAGAGGATTTTTTATTTAGTTCTTCACCTTAGCGACAGATAAGAGAATTGATCAAATTCTGTTGAGTTGACTCATAGTGATCATCTTAATTCCAATCACATGGTTTGGCATTTCTAAGGGAGAAAACTATTTTAACAGTGTTTTTTTTTTTTTCTGTGTGCCTAAACTGTGTAGGGAGGATTTTTTTTTTTTTTTTTGGGTCTAACAGCAAATGTTTACGACCATTCTTTATACTAAAGGTCAGACGGATCCAACTAGATTATTAAGAACTCGAAAGAAACTAAATCACCTCTAAACCACACGAATGTGCTGTGGAGTCCCCCAGAGAAAATTTACAAGATATCCTGCATTGATATAAAAAATGTTAATGATTTAGCTCACGTCAAAGCTATTCTAGGCCTAGGCTTAGACAAAACTCTCTTTCCTATAAATAAATATTTGCTCAAATAAATTATCAAGAAAATTCAAAAAAATTCCTCTCCAACCTCCCCCCCCCCACCCTTTCTTTTTTTTTTGGGAGACTTGCTACATATGTTTCATATCCTCTTAGAATTGCCAATTACATTGCAATTTTCCCTAAACATTTTAGCCCATAGTTTGTTCTTTATTTTTCCTAAACATTTTAGTCCATAGTTTGGACTTTGGAGCATAAAAGTGCAAGACATCTGTAAGTGTAAGCATCACGTGTAAAGACTGAACAAAAGTCAAAATGAGAAATTTCAAAGCATCCATTAGTATTCCTAAGGGAAATTTGTCAAATTGGTCCCTAACATTTACCAAAAACACTTTTTTAGTCCTTTACATATAAAATCAGCCAAAATGGTCCTTCACATTTAAATTGTGAGCCAATGTGGTCCTATTGCTCGTTTTTGCTCATTTCTCCGACTAAAAATAGCACGCCTCTTTCACGTGGTCATATTTTTAGGGGCAAAACCGAAAACACATTTCATTACCTGTTAAAAGTAAAAGGTGTGGACAACCACCAAAATACACATTTCACCTTTGGCCCTCAAAGTTTCAAGAAACCCTAAATTGCATCCCACCGCCACGCCCTCAACTGACTCAGCCACCTCCTCCCTCGCTATCCCTTCTCCTCTCTCCACTGTCCGTCCTCCCCCTCCCCCTCATCATCGCCAGCATTTCTCCAACCTCCGGCGAGCTCTCTCCTTCGACGATGATATTGATGCGAGGGACTCACAAGACGAGGGAGAGGATGAGGAAGAGCACCAGGAGGATGAGGAGGAGCTTCTCGAGCTGGAGCCCCGAATCGGATCTTGCCGGGTCCGGGAAGCTGCCGATGAGTTGTCTGTGGGAGGTGTTGAGGAGGCTCCCGCCTCCAACACTGTTGTCGGCGGCCAGGGTTTGCAAAGGATGGAGGGACACGAGTAAGCAGCTTTGGCGGGCGGCGGAGGAGCTGAGGCTTAGGGTTCCAGCTAAGGCCCAAATTGGATTCGTGGGATCGATGTTGCACAAATGTCCTGGACTTGTTAGACTCTCACTTAGAATGGAAAGGTTAGGACTTTCGGATATAAGTAAACAAGAACCAGATCTATGGATTCATCAAGCACATCACTTATACAGGAGAATTACAAAATAATTTTCGCCACCATTCGGGGATGCAATTTAGGGTTTCTTGAAACTTTGAGGGCCAAAGGTGAAATGTGTATTTTGGTGGTTGTCCACACCTTTTACTTTTAACAGGTAATGAAATGTGTTTCCGATTTTACCCCTAAAAATATGATCACGTGAGAGAGGCGTGCTATTTTTAGCCGGAGAAATGAGAAAAAACGAGCAATAGTACCACATTGGCTCACAATTTAAATGTGAAGGACCATTTTGGCTGATTTTACATGTAAATGACTAAAAAAGTGTTTTTGGTAAATGTTAGGGACCAATTTGGCAAATTTCCCTATTCCTAATTGGCTCTTCTCACCATTTTATACTTATTATATCTTAAAATCGTGGCAAATTCCTCAAGAAAACAACCAACAAAATACAACCTCCAAAATACAAAATTACATAAATTACATCAAAAAAAAATGGAAAAGTAAATAATAATACACAAAAAAAAAGAGAGAAAAGAATAATGTCAGCTCACGGCTTTCACCAATCAGGCTTCCTTCCTCTTTAAGGCATTTTCAGACCAAACTTCTCAACAAGACTTTTCAGGTTGTTGAGAATTGCTAAGCTGATGCTCATGTACTCGCTAGACTTGTGCACCCGCGTTCTGAGCTCATCAACCACCGTCGACCCCATCTCATCAAGCCCGTCAAGGCAAGTATCCTGATCCGTCATCGCAGCGCTAATCCACGTCTGCATATCACTGATCCTCATCTCCGTCAACAGCTTCTCCGCCGGGCCCACCACCGCCACCTTCATCAACTCGGCCGACCTGTTGAGTTGACTCAGCGAGTCGTCGAACAGATTAACGCAGTCCTTCAATGCCGACTCGGCCCGCCGGTCGTTCGACTTGGAGATTAGGGTCTTGGGAAGAGAAGCGAGGCTGGCGAGCTCCCTCTGGCTGACCTGGAGAGACAGGTTGAAGAAGTGAACCGGGTCGGATTTGGGCGGGTCGTTGAGAGCAGAGATCGAGTTGATGCACGAGTCGAGATACTGAGTCACGGCGCACACGGTCTTGAGTGACTCGCCCGAGTCCGAAGCGGGGAGTTGCTCTTCTTCCGACTCCGGAGGCTCGGTGGCTGACTCGTAGATTAAGGCTCCAATCATTGCGCCGAGTACGATGGTCAAGAAAACGGCGAGGGAAGCAGCTAAGAGGATACGACGTCGTCTGTTGGAAGCTGGTTGTTGATTTCCGGCTGGATTGTTTACTTTGCCATAGCCCTTGAAGAAGTTGATGGAGTCCATATTGAAGAAGAGTTGAAGCAGCAGATCTGCTGTTTGGGGAAAATTTTTTTTTTTTGGGATATGGATTTGGGTTGTTGGTTTGAGGTCGTAAGGAGGAAGTATATAATTTATTATCTACTGGGAATTGGTCGGAAATGGTCCAAATGGATTTTGTCAAATTCAAGATTAAAGAATTGGGGTTGAGAAGAAGAGTATTCAATTTCTCACCTCATTCCTTGCTAACTAAGTTTGTACAGTATCTTTTCTTATTAATAGTTTTTTTTTTTTTTTTGAATCTGGGAATACAAACTGATAAAAAATATTCCCTATGTCCCACTTTGATAGTTCTAATTATTTTTTCACACAATTTAAGAAAAAGTACTTAACTTTGTTGGAACAATCAATTTAGGTAGCTATTTTTCTAAAATACCCTCACATTAATTAGAGTATAATTTTATGGGAACTTGAATTAATGGTAAAAAAAGAATCAACTCTCATTAAATGTGATAGGTTTATAGTAACAACCACTTACATTGAATAAGAGTATTTTAGAAAAATTAAAATACAACTACATTCTTCAATTGGAAACTGGACTACAATTTGAGACAGACGAAAAAGGAAAACAGGACTATCAAAGTGGGACGGAGGGAGTACATAAACAATTGTTTTAGGTATTGAATTTATAGTTTTTTTTTCTTCTTGATTAGAGGTTTTAGCAATGTTGCAGTTGCTCCTCCTAGTTAATCTGTTTGGATTGGTCATTTTTTGAAAAATAAATTTTTTAACTATAATGCTATAATAATACACAAATAAAAACAACCTCTAAGTTTTTTAAGAAGAATAGTGCTGTAATAGTTTTACTACTATAAACGTGTTTCACTAACTAATAAAGCAAAGCATACCTTTTTACCTCCGATGGTTCGGTGATTTATCATTTAATCTTCTGTAGTTTGGATGGGAGTGTTTTTCACAATGTATATAGAGTTTTAAAAACCTATATCGACTTTGTCAATATATTATTTTGATTTTAATTTTTAACTATTAACCATTAGTTTAACAAAAAACTGATGGTGACATTTTAATCCAAATCATGAGAATATTATATATATAAATTTTTAAATTATAGAAGATTTATGTGATAAAGTACAAAATTACAGGGGTAAATGGTAATTTACCCATAAAATTAATCCATTAAAATTTCATTACAGTTTTGGTGCGAGCAGACAAGTTATGCCCACCCTTCCAAATTATGCATTTCTAAGGGGGCCTACCAACCGACATTCATAACTGTATCAAAGTTTACACGGTTTATTGTTAGGGTAAAATACGAAAACCCCCTTATAATTTGGTGTATGTACATTGTAACTCTCTATAACCTGAAAATCTATAATTTAACCCCTTATCATTGTAATCAAAGTAAAACTGTTAGATTTTTTGTTAGATTTAATGGCCAAACCTTCAAATAAAATTATTATGAAAATTACAAAATCACTCTTCAATCTATGGTTAATGTAATGTTCTAAATAAAATTTGAGGAAAAATTATACTTTTAAAAAATTTTGAGGTAAAATTGAAATATTTGGAAAAAAAACTTATTAAAAACATTAAACCCTCCTAACTTTAAACCCAGTTGCATTTTAGCCCCCCCTCCCAACATAATAAATAGACACTTTACACTCCTACTTTATGTTTTAGGACAAAATTGGCCCTTTCATATTAATTATTATTTTATTTCTTTTCTCGCCCTTTTTGCCCTTTTTTCTACTTGTCAGTTTTCTTTATATTTTTTAGTTTTTATCCCTTCTCTCGTGCCATCAACTACTTTCTTCTCTTTGCTATTATTATCTATATATTAATTTTAATCTTCTTAAACTTATTCTTTATTTATTTCTAGACTATTTACTTTTTATTATTGAAAAAATAATGACTATAAAGTCTATGCTATAACAAAGCATTTATTATCTATGTTCATAAACTATTTCATACGTTATTTAAATCAATATGTTTAGAGTTTAGAATAAATTAATTTTTCATAAAAACAGAAGTGGTTAACCAACTATATACAAAAAAGTAAATAAAATTATTAATTACTTTTTTTGGGATATAATTTTAAATATTAAGTCATTTAAAGTCCTAGTATTCAAATTGCTAGTAATATACACTTTTTGATTATGATAGGCATATATCAAATTTTTATGCTATACAATTTGTCTTAAATTTTTAATAGTGTAAATAAATAAAACAAGAATGAAATTATAAGTAAAAAATGATTACAATATTGTAATAAGCATACAAATTAGTAATCCTAATAGGAAAGTGAAACAAAATGGTGAAACGAGAAAAGTGAAAAAAAAATAGTAAAAAAAGAAAATGAAAAATAAAACAAAGTAGTGGAAAAGAAAAACAAGGGAATGAATAAACAAAAAAAAAAAGAAACAAAATAGAACAGCAAGGGTACTTTTGTCCTGAAATATCAAATAGGGGGAGCAAAATGCTTATTTAATGAGTTCAGAGGAACAAAACGTAACTAAGGGTAAAGTTTAGGGGGTTTGGTGCATTTAACCCAGCTTATACTTGCTTTTGTGATTTATTCTTGCCCTTTTTATGAAACCAAGTAAATATAATTTTTATTTAAATTTCATTTTTACCTCAAAATTTTCTATAAGTATAGTTTGCTCAGAAATTTTTACTTAAAACATTATATTAACCATAGATTGATGGGTGATTTTGTAATTTCATAATAATTTTATGTGAAGAGTTTGACTATTCAAGTTTGACTGTTAAATCTAATGAAAAATCTAATAGTTTTACTTTGATTACGACTACAAGAGGTTAAATTGTAGATTTTCAAATTAAAAAGAACCAAAGTGTATATATGCCAAACCATAAGGTGATTTTTTGTATTTTACCCGTATTGTTATAAAGAACGAATTGTGTACATTCTAAGCAAAAGTTATACTACTTGACACCTATTATCTGTCTAAATCACGATCATTAACACAGGATTTTACCCAAATCTACATCATTGTTGGAATGTAAAGAGTTCGATTAATACTTCAAAAGTGGTTAATGTGTGTGTATATCTCATACATTTGCATGCACTAATATATTTCTTCAGAGCTATACTAGCTTTGATTCTACAAATTGAAAAAAGCTCCCTAACAGCTCTTTGGCTTCAACAATTTTTTAAAGCATATATATCCCATAACTTTTTCTTGACAATATTGCTGAGAGATGATGTTGCTAGAACTTCGTCAACTCTTAGTTATTAGATGTTCAAACAAAAAATGTACATTTCTTAGGAAGAGTTTTTGGACAGCAACAAAACAAATAATGAAGGCATGCTTCATTTAATTTGAAGTACAACACTTAATTAAAGTTACAGAGAAAATTTTGTTTATGCAACCATTACAAAATTTGGTGGATCAATTTCCGGAAACAATTCTTTTTATATAGTTGATCATGCCATGCCATTAATTTTTGTGGCAATAAATATTTAGACATCCAAACATAAGGATAGCTTTCTTCTTCTTCTTCTTCTTCTTCTTCTTTTTTCTGGTAAAGAACAAAAGACAAAATAACTAATTACACTTTGCACCCTTAATGTTTTCAACGATTCGCTCGCTGCATTTGTTATTTTGCTTTGAACTTCTCATGCTCTAAAGTTATTAATAATTACTCATTGCACATCAAATTTTTACTTTAGACAATTTATACCCTAAAGTTACTAAATCATCCGAAATTACCACAATCTTGCACAACATTAATGACAAGTATACAGGCAATGTGCCCAAATATTGATCACTTATGTGCTTGTAATTAATGAATGAGAAAATCAGCTGATGGGCTGATATAGGACAATTGAACAAATTTATGGTGCAAAGTATCTAAATAAAAGTTGAAGGCACAAAGTCATAATTGATGAAACAAGGTGTAATTAGTCCAAAACCAAACTGGAATTCGAGGTCATTCACCATATAACAGCTACAAAAATGTGCGATTGCTTTCAGGTTCCAATCATTTCATTTGTTCTCCTCCAAAACCAAATGATGAGTAACTAAGGCTCCAAGCTAATGGCAACGTCTTCATAACATAAAAATATAAACCATTTTCTTGTCGAAGAAGGCGCGCAGAAGAACGGATCCCGGGGAAACATTTTTGAGTTATTTTTTTTTATTGTTTTCCAAAAACATAAAAGGAAAAAGAAGACATCGTATTAAACTAACAAAAAGGGTAATGGAGGCAAAATAATTGGGATGCCAACATTAGCATTTCAAATTTGAATATGGACAACTTAGTATATCCACTTGTTAAAGTGTTTATGCAAAAATAATCGCATGTCATTAGAGACAAAAAGTTTGTCTAACACTGAGCACTCGTTAAGATGTTGTTCAAGTTTTAAATTTTTTAAAAAGTAAATTTACTTAAGAAAAGTGTATAAATATAAGTAGGGGTGTGCAAAATCGAAAAATTTCGATTTACCGACCGAATTCGAATTGAATTCAGAAATTCGAATTCGGTAATTCGGAATGATTTGAGTTCGAATTGGTCGAATTCGATAACGAGATTTTTTAAATCGAAAATTCCGATTTCGAATTCACAATTCAAAATTGAAATCGAAATCGGAATTCGGAATTTCTATTTCGATTTCAAATACGTTTTTCATATATATATATATATATATATATATAATATAATATAACATTTATATTATAATAATAATTTTTATATTCATGAATTCGGTGAAATCGGAATTCCTATTTTGATTTCAATTTCGTTTTCACACACACATATATATAATATTTTATATATATGTAATATAATATTTATATAATAATAATAATAATTTTTATATTCATGAATTCGGTGAAATCGGAATTTACCGAATTCCGAATTGAATTCAAAACGAATTCAAATTTGGAATTGGTGAATTCGAAATCGAAATCGGTCGAAAATTCTGATACCAAAATTCCGAAAAATTTCGATTTCAAAGTTCCGAATTACCGATTTCGATTTCGATT